AAATGCGCTTTACACAATTGATGTATGTATGGATTGTGATAAGAGTTGTATGAGCTCCTAATAAAATGATTTAAAAAAAATACAGTATACATTTATTGCTTTATTAAAAGAGACCTTGCACTTCCTGTCTGCTCCAATTGCGCTGCAGCCAACAGTGAGCTGTGCAGTGGGGCCCACTGCTATGGTCCAGAGCTTCAGTAGCTTGGGGGTGGGATTATTTTCAGGGAGGTCTTATTTTCGGGGAAACAGGGTAGGTAGATCATTGTGTTAGAAAAAGAAAATACGAATAAGTAAAAAAAATATTGTTGCCTGTGCTTCAGTTCATACATGCATGGGTTATTTTCAACAAAAGGTGTTATGAGGACAACATATGTACAAACATGCCTGATTTAATTGATCTATGCATTTTGATAAGAGTTGTATGAGCCCCCAGTACAATTATTAAAAAACAAACAAAAAAACCCAAAACGTGTTTAAACATATCAATAATCTACTTGTCTTAATCTCATTAGGGTGCTTTAAAAAAAGGTCCAATCAAAACAGTAATTTCCAAGGGTATTTGCTAGACCACTTCAATTCAAACAGAGAGGTCAGTTCCTAAAGTTATGATGACTATTTCTGGATTCCCAAGAGGTCACTTTGGTAAGTTTTCTTGAAGGACAAGACAATCATGGGGACTTACTAGGAAGAAGTTTTAAGAAAATCGAAAACTGCACTGATAGGAAAATTGCTATTGAGACATTTTTTCCCCATGACTACAACGCACCTGCTCATTCTTTGCAGGTAACAAGAGCTGTCCGAAGAGAGAATTTCGTTGGAAAACCTTTCCCCAGCCACGCTACAGCCCTGATCTCGCCCCTTCAGATTTATCTTATTCCTTAACTTATGGAACGCTTAAAAGGAACACAATTTTAAGTTCCTTAAGGATGTAAAAAACTCATTTTAATGTAGTGTAAACTGGAGAACACTGCGGAATTCTTTACAGAAGGATTCAAGAGACAGGGGACTACTACTTCCTGTAGACCCATGGAGAGTTAGATGGAAGATATTTGAGGAAGAAAAGCTTCCTATGATATTGTAGCAGCAATCTTTTGGATTGCAATCCTCATATGGAGTAGTTGAGGTGACAGCCAAGACACATACGCTTTTCCTTCCCCTGGTAGAAAGGAGAAGGGAAGAGGAGAGGTGGAAATGGTCAGTCATTTCAAATAACTATTCCCCAACCAGAGAGATAATGAGTTCCTAGAAGGACAATCTTCAGAAACAGCTAAATGGATTTGCTTCCATTATCTTAGTAAGTGCCATTATTTCTAATTTTCCCTTACCTATAAAAAAGTTGGCTGGGAAGTTATCTCCCCAGCCACCACTAGCATAAAAGGTATAAACTACTTACTTCAGTTTGTACAACTCTAATCAGGCAAAATAAATGCTGCTGTGTTTTGGCTATGACACCAAACTGCCGACAGCGCTCCAAAAAGGTGTCTAAAGAAGAGTCCATTCGTCTCTGCAGCTTACTCCAAAAGAGAGTCAGTTCCCTAGAAGAAGAAAGATCATGCGATTAAAGCACCTAGTGTGTGCACTTACCCTACCTCTTGTTTTCGAGGGTGTTTGTAAAAACAAGTTGACAGAAGAACAAATGAAAACTGGGGGGAAATTGTTTATATTCATTATAGCTTTCCACACCTTCCGGACATTCCAGATACTTCTCTGTCTGGGGTTAAAAAAAACAAACCAGAAACAGCAACAGAATAGTTCCTCAACACCAACTGTTCATTTTCTAAATCTTAGAGTACATCTTACTCCAAAGGCTCACATTTTCTCTACATTGTTAATTATACTGACTGAATTAAAACTCTACCCTAGTGGGCAGGAATCACCAGACAGTTAACAAAATATGTACAACTAAACTATTTAATGGCATACTTTTCTCTGCTGATCTTCTGGGCTAGTTCTAGTTCTGAAACAGTATTACGCTGCTTAGTAGGCCTTTATTTTGGAATGTTTAAATATTACTAATAAAATTAGTAAAAAGACACTCCTGGAATTGGTGAAAATACAAGAGGTCCAACAAAGGCTCATGATGGAAACTATTAAACTGGAAGAGAATAAATAAGTAAAATATTCATTAGGTGTGAGAAAATCCTCAAGTAAAAAGCACTAGAAATTTGGAAGTGCCCAGGGCAAAAATGCTAAGTTCCAATACAATGTAAATGCATGGGCAGGTACTACCAAAACTAAAGAAACATGCTAGTGCTTACAATTTTGGGGGAGGGGGCGGGAATAATTTCTGTACAGCTTCAAAGGGTACTGCATATGTTAAATGATTTTCATAAAACGTAAACATATTTTCACAAGCCAATTTTAGAACACTGATATCCTTTATTTTAACACAAGCAGATTATTCTAGGAGGCATAAATCTAAAGCTGAAGAAACAGAAGTATCTCTTTTTTAATAATAGATTGAAAATAACATACGCAATAATTTCGTTATATTCTTAAAGAATTAGGCTCTCAAAAGGGAATATCTAAGATTTTCTTCAAAGATTGAAATTATTAGACCTAAACAAATAAACCTACTACCATTTAGTTGATTCTGACTCATGGTGAACCCTTAAAATCCTGAGGTTATAAGTCTTTACAGAGACAGACAGTTATTAATTTTTCTGCCTTAGAGCACCTAGTGGGTCTGAGTCACAGAATTTCTGGTTAGGTCACTACACCAATAGCCATGAAAACACATACTGAAAACAATTCCAATGTGTGGACATGCCAGTGTTCTAGAGACTTATTATACTCCTAAATTAGCCCACTGCCTAGATCAAACCAACAAATCATACCCAAAGTCGGGAAATTAGAAAAGACATGTAGTGTTATTAATTGTAGGAAGCATTACCTTGGCAGGATTGTAGATACCAAACAAGAACCTTAAACCACTCTGTTTCCACATTGCAGGGGGCCCATGAGGTCGCTAACTTTATGTCATACTGAGATACAGAATTTATGCATCATAGACAAGGGGCAAAGAATACTTTGTGGAATTAGGAATGACAATCCCCTAAAGAAGGTTACCACAATAAAGTGGCTACACAATTCAATTACAAATACATGGGTAAACCTAGTCTTCCTTAGGTGCTAGAGATACCAGTGGCAATAAGGTAAGATGCATGACCTTGGTTCTCACAGTCTTGTGGCAAGAACCAAAGCAAAATCTGCCACTGAGTCTGTTCTGACTCACCGCAACTCTATGGGGCTGAGTAGAAACTGCCCTATGGGGTTCAGAGACTGTAACTCTTTATGGGAGTACAAAGTCATACCTTTCTTCTGCAGAGCGGTTGGTGGATTCCAACTGCTGACCTTACAGTTAGTAGCCCAACAAGTAACCCACTGCAACATCAGATCTCCTAGTGGGTGAGATTGAGAACTGGCACATAAATATATCAGAAGGAACACAAACATCTACCATATGCATTTAAGCTTAGAGAAGCTATAGAAAGCCATAGGCAAGCCTACCAAATATCAAATGTCTGATTTTATTTCTGTAAAGTAGTAATTACACATCTATATGTGTACCATCCCATTCAAAGTGGTTATCTTACTCACTCACACGATAAGTGACAGATTTCTGCAGCTAGCCGAAGAAATTTTGGGTCCAATGTTAATGAGTAAAGTAAGCAACAGACCCTTTGGTGAAAAATATGCCGACTCCTAAAACTAGGAAATTTCACGGTGGTTTATAAATATCTCTGAAGGAAATAAAATAAATTCTAACATATATGGTTCAAAACAAGTCTGACTTTTGTGGTCATACCTCAACTAGAAATACTTTTTTTAAAAATTTCAACGTAAAAAATTAAATTGCTATTTAAAAAAACCTAAAACCTTTTATCTGGAATACTACTTCACAGAGCCTCACCCCTGAACAATAAGGACCAACTACGCAATACGGTTACTGTTTTAACCAAAAGAACCCTTCAGCACCACACACACACACACACACAGTTTAGCCTGTACCAAGAGAACTCCTTTTCCTTAGACAAATGCATGACTGCTTTACCCTCCTATCTCCTTAGTCTCATACAGGAGTACCACAGCCCTGCCCCATCCCCACCTGGCCATTAAAAAAGCCTCTTGAAACAGTGGAAAAGTAAAAGGTTTCAAAATACTATTTTAGATTTTTTTTCCTTCCTCTTGGAATTGTTTGGAAGAAGCTCTATTTTTAACAAAGCATGCAGGAACTCAGATCTTCTTTCCCTTATACTTCTCAAGGGGCCCAAAAGGGGGAAATCCCAGTTAATCCCTTCCTGCTGCAGGGAACAACATTAATCCCAGATCCATTAACATCCTAGGAAGAGCTAATGGTAGCTGAGTAAAGGGGGTAAAATTATCAGGTAACAAAGGGAAGAAAGGTCGAAAAGACTGTATGACTATATTTTTAAAGCCCCTTTATAATCTATAACACATTTCATGTACGATTTAAATTTATTCTTTGTATTGAAAATATAATTGTAACTGATACATACTTCTCATTTATAGGCAATGCTCAACTTCAGCTAAAACAGATTATAAGAGCATAACAAAGTAAATGGGCAAAGATATTAATTTAAATATAAAAAGATCACTTGGGGTCTGTTCCTCAAACAAACACATCTTTAATCTCTAGATCTCAAATACATGAAAAGATATTTCTGTTGTTGGGTTTTGTGACCAAAAACCATGCTGCTCTGTAACAACGCTTTTTACTTCTTGTTAGGTGCCGTGGAGCCAGCTCTGACCCACAGTGACCCTATGCACACCCAAACTAAAAACACGAAACGGTCTTGTGCCATCCTCCCAATTGTTCCCATGCCTGAGCCCACTGATGCAGCCTCCAGCCGGCTCATCAAGGGCCTTCCTCTTTTTTGCCCCCCCAACATGATGTCCTTCTCCAGGGATTAGTCTTTACCAAACATGATGTCCTTTACCAGGGAATAGTCTCTCCTGACCATATGTCCAAAGTATGTAAGGCGAAGTCTTGCCATCCTGACCACTCCTTCAAAGATGATAGCTTAGTAAATCCAATAGGGTGGTTCTACACTGTCATCTAGGGTTGCAGAACTGGAATCAACTTGATGGCATACAACAATAACATCTAGATACCTTTCTTAAGCTTAACAGAATTAGTCACTCTGGTGTGTACAAGGATCATCTTTCTTTAATTTTCTATAACTTTATCCACACCATTAATCTGTATTTATAGTGCTGCATTTTACTACATCCTCTACAGTTAAAAGGATATACAAAACAAAACCATGGGTTACACTACAGCGTCCTCTTTTGCAATACAGCACTTTGTAGACCAGCAAGATATAAACCGAATTAAAACCTAAATCAGGCAATTCAAGCTGCAAGAGAGCGAACTTCCTAGAGCAAGCTTGACCTATAAACCTACATAATTTACCCCATTCATTAGTGGATATCCAAATAAGGAGAAGAGATACTGATGGATATAATGGAGAACCATCAAATACCAATTTACTCCCTAGTGCCATAATTTCATCTTTAAACAAGAAGACAGACTGCCCTATAGGACGATTCAAGGGGAACTCAATCAGTAATGTTTTTAATTAAATGGCTAACTTGTTAGCAAGATTTTACACATAATCATTTAATAATGCTTTACTTTGAAACCAAAAAATGTTTTACATAAAGCCAAATTGTTACACTGTGTACTAATACATAAAGTGAATACAAACTAAATATACTTACCAAGAACAATACACACTTGCAGTTTGGAGCTGCTGGGTAAGGTAAGTTGTACAAAGAACAAAGGCTGTGTTATCTTGACCCTCAGATTCCAGATTACATATGATGTCTAGTATTTCCTTGCAGTCGACTTTTGCAATCTAACAAAAATGAGATGACTAAGTCAAAAGGGAAATGGTGACTTTCTTATAGAGTGTTATAAAATGTGAAACTTCTTAATGACATTTTCTATCTACAATTAATAAGGACAGAGAGATATATCATGATTTTCTTCTACTGGCGAACGGTTGACTTAGGTCATAAGCATTTCATATAAGAAAATACACAAAGAAGTCATAGACACTATAAAGAAGCTCCACTGTAGTCTCAATACAAATTTTATAGAGCCTTTTGAAAAATTATGATTATTACTACCATATAGACAAGTCAAATTATGTTAAGAACTTTTAGTTACTTTCACATGAAGTATCATCTTTTTAATTTTAATTTTATTTTTTGTTTTTAACTTAGAGTTTATAACCTATTTTTTAAAATCATTTTATTGAGGCTCATACAACTCACCACAATCCATACGTACATCAATTGTGTAAAGCACACATACATTTGTTGCCCTCATCATTCTCAAAATTCGCTTTCTGCTTGGGTTCCTGGAATTAGCTCATTCCCCCCCAGCCCATCTTTTTTATTTTTATAAGGACTAGGTCACTCTGGTTACAGATTTTTAAAACGCAGTTAACCGTATACAGTATTAATATATATTTTATTTAATATAATTGAAGAAAATATTTTGAACAAAACATCAATCATTTTAAGAAACACATCTATTTCATTCAGACCATTAAAAACCTCTGGGTAAATTAGCTCTTTTTTTCTATACTACTGAAACAAGAAAACCGCCCAAGACCCTTTTTCTTTCTTTCTTTTTTTAATCGTTTTATTAGGGGCTCATACGACTCTTATCACAATCCATACATACATCAACTGTGTAAAGCGCATTTGTACATTCATTGCCCTCATCATTCTCAAAACATTTCCTCTCCCCTTAAGCCCCCGGCATCAGGTCCTCATTTTCCCCCTCCTTCCCCGCTGCCCCTTCCCTCATGAGCCCTTGATAATTTATAAATTATTATTTTGTCTTATCTTGCCCTGTCCGATGTCTCCCTTCACCCACTTTTCTGTTGTCCGTCCCCCAGGGAGGAGGTCACAGATAGATCCTTGTAATCGGTTCCCTCTTTCCTACCCACTCTCCCTCTACCCTCCCTGTATTGCCACTCACACCACTGGTCCTGAAGGGATCATCCGCCCTGGATTCCCTGTGTTTCCAGTTCCTATCTGTACCAGTGTACATCCTCTGGTCTAGCCAGACTTGCAAGGTAGAATTGGGATCATGATAGTTGGGGGGGGGGGGGGGCATTTAGGAACTAGAGGAAAGTTGTATTTTTCATCGTTGCTACATCATACCCTGTCTGGCTCATCTCCTCCCCGAGACCCCTCTTGCCCCTTTTTCTTATTTATATTTTATCTCCACCCCACCTTGGTGAATAGAGTATGAAGAACATAATATATTTCATGTCAGATTATAAATAGTAACTATACCAGGCTTCCAACTTACAAAACAGGGATAATCCCTAGGATAAATACGGTATGCAGCCATTTAGCTCAAATCCTCTCAAACACTATGCAGTTTTAATGGGTGGCTGTATATAGTCTCACACTTTAATTATGCACTCTTAGGTGAACAATTTGGTTCTTGACTGTCCCTTCCCATAGCTGTCATTTTTGCCTATAACCCAGCAACTGTAATTTATCTCTCTGATTTTAATGTAATATAAATCTGAACATTGCCAAGAACAAACAGGATTATAAAATGCTAGGTACAAACATGTTTTTATGTCTTACGGAAAAAAAAAGTTTTTTTAATAGTATTCTGGGGTTCCCAGGGGACACAAACATTTTTGTGCTCTGCCGCTAACATTAATGGCTAGGGGCTTAAACCCATCCAGCTGAATCATGAAAGAAAAGGACTAGTGATCCTTTTCTTACAGGCAAGAAAAGTCTACTGGCTAACTGTACCCAAAACGTGGTTGCTATGAGTCAGAATGGACTCAACAGGAACTAACACAGAAACTCTAGTGACCTCTTGGAGTAGTTCAAAGTGGGGTAAGGTTATGTGGATCATAATATAATACCATGCCTTGTAGCCAGGATCACCTCCAATTTACTTAAATAACATGGTTTACCATGGTTCTTCAAGTGTGATATCTGGACCACTAGGAGCAGTATCTCTGGAAACATAATGAAAATGCAAGTTCTCAGGCTTTACCCCAGCTCTACTGGACCAGAAACCCAGGGGTGAAGCCAATAACCTCTTCTCTTAGACAAGACTTCCAGGCAATCTTAATATTAAAATTTGAGAGTTAAAAAGGTCTGACCCCAAAAGACTGGTATGATATCAATAATTAAGGTTTTGAGGTTCTCGGAGAAAAATAATAGTTCCCAAGATCCAGTATCTGATAAAAAGATAAATAATTGTTTTATATGAGGTGCTTCCAAAAAGTTCCACTTTCCTTTACATTTTTTTCCAAGAACTTTTTGAAATTTCCTCCCGCATAAAGTTAAAGTGGTTCAGTAACCTCTATAACCAATCAACAAATTATATTACCTGATATTAGTGAGCAACTTATTATTAGCACCTGTCTTCTCTGCTAGTCTATAAAATGCATGTAGGCAAAGGTGTATGTACATCTTGTCAAAATTCAGCACTTATCACAGTATCCCTGAAACATTAAAAAGTTCAGCTAGAAAATCATAGAAGCCTTTATTAAACAAAAATATCCAAATGTGAAGCTACTATTTCCCTCAACATATCTTCCCCATCTAGGGCTACACTCTTCTGAAGGTGACATTTTTATCTCTCAAATTAATCCACAAGGAATTCTAGGTTCTTTGATTTGAGCCCCATAAAAAAGGCAGTGTTAGCACCTTAGGGCCTCAAATCAAGTTCCTTTGCAATGTTTGTGGAGTTTGGGCAACAAAAAGAATTCTGAAGGATTTCTGTAAGGCTGTAAGGCAGTAGTTCTTGTAAGGCAGCCCTTGCTACACATGAAGAATGAGGAGGTACCTTGTCCTAATGAAAAAAGTCGTAGAGGCAAGTTTCACCACCAATGCTACTGCCAGTTTTCTTAAATTTTGTCCCCTAGTGAGTGAGTCCCCATACCCATCTTCTGTCCTTTGAGAAAATCTTATCAGGACTATCCCTTGGAAGTCTCTTTCCCCTCATCAGTCACTATTACCTTCTGTACTGATCTCTCTGCCTTCAATTCAACTACCCTAGCAGATCCCCTGAGAAGCCACTGTTTAATTGGATCTTTTTAAAAGGCATCCTAATGAGACAAAGTCTATTACTGAGAGAACTGTAGCCGTCCACTGATCATAGAGACAGATGTAAACACACTTTGTTTGAAATAAAGCTGTACATGTGGGAACCAGAACTCTAGCAACAATACTTCCTGATTTACCCTCCTCCATAGGTGCTGGATCAAGTTAAATCATCTTAAGACATTCATTTTATAAAGCAAATCTTATATAAAATTCTCTTTTCTAAACTTTTAAAAAAATTTGATACACTGCAGACAATGTAACATGAGGGGGTCATTTAAAAAGTGTGTGCATAAATACGATAAAAATTGAAGTATAGACTATTTTTCAACCTAAACTCCATAAAGGTGAAGATACTTTGTTAAGCAATGAGATGTGCCATTTAATCCATCTATAAAGACTGAGGGTCCTGGGAATTCAAATAATGGCAATGTAATCTTTTTTTTACATTATTAACTATAGAAAATGAGTGCCATTATGAGATTAGGAAACAAAAGGAACCAAATCAGGGCTGAAAGACAGATGCCTAATACTGTGTTTCCCCAAAAGTAAGACCTACTTACAGTTTTGCCTCTCACCGAAATATAAGGCGTCCCCCTGAAAATAAGACCTCCCCGAAAATAAGGCCCCCCGAAGCTACCATAACTCTGGACCGTGGCAGCGGGCGGCGCTGCACAGCTCACTGTTGGCCATAGCGTAGCCGGAGCAGACAGGAAGTGCAAGGTCTCTTTTAATAAAACAATAAACAATAAATGTGTACTGAATTCTTCTTCGTGGAAAAATACGACATCCCCTGAAAATTAAGACCTAGCGCATCTTTGGGAGCAAAAATTAATATAAGACACTGTCTTATTTTCGGGGAAACAGTAGTTTCTCATGAAAACTCTCTGAGTTTGATGAAAGGAATGAACAAGAGCATATTGTCATGATTTTTTTGATAAAGCTTTCTCCACTCCTTTATAATAAGCAGATGTTGTCATTCTTTGGCCCTCCTAAAATCTAATAAGCAAAATGTCTTGAGTATTTATTAAAACAAACAAACAAACCCAAAACTGTTGCCAGGACCTTTGCTCTTGACCAATCCCTTTTTGCTTTCACCTCTTGGTAGTCATTACTTTGATTGTACTTTGTCTTCAGGATCATGCTGGTGAAGCCATGTTTTATCTCCTGTTATAAGCCTTCTAAGAAATAGGTCAGGCTCTTAGTTTCACTTACTTTAAGAGTTCCTTTGGATGCTCTGCTCTTGTCTACAGTTGATCTGGACACATCAGTTTTGGCACTCATTAAGTGGAAAGCTTGCTCAACTTTCAATTGACCAACCAGAAATTTGTAAGCTGAACCAACTGAAATGCTGGCTATAGTTTCTGCTGTTAATCATTGGTCCAATTCAGTTAGGCACAAACTTAATTTTTTCCTCAAAAACTGATCTGCCAATGCAGACTTCATCTTCAACATCATTTTGTCTCTTTCTTAAAACGAGTCATTCATTTGTAAACTGCTGGCTTCTTTGGGAAACGATCATAAGCATTACTGAGTTCACTATTCTTCCACCCAAGCATCACTAGTGATTCGATGTTTATTGTTGCTTCAATTTCAGCAGAATTCATGTTGCTCTGATAGGGGCTTTTACAACCTGATATAACCTTTCTTAGTGCCTCAAACTAGACCTGCTCAGATATGCTATAACAAGTCAGTATGAGTTTGAGTACAAGAAAAAAAATTGAAAACCATATGTAGTTGTTTCCCATAATAGGCATTTCCA